GCAGGACAGTGTCGATGGCAACATCACCATAGAGGGACAAAACATCGAATGGGAAAGAGATGCTAAATATTTGGGTGTTGCTTTAGATAAGCAGCAGACGTGGAAGAAGCACATAAAAACAGCCATCGACAAGGTTAAGGCAACATCTGCCAAGTTATACCCACTCCTCAATCGAAGCAGCCAGATGAGTATTAGGAACAAGTTACTCCTCATCAAGACCATAATCAGTCCGACACTGGCGTATGCCACCACTTCAACAAACTTCTGCGGATGGCCATAGATGCGCCCTGGTTTGTTAGAAACTCCCAAATCTACAGGGACCTGCGGTGGGAGCCACTAAGAGAGTTTCTCGCAAGGAAAGCGAAAGCAGACTTTGAGAAACCTGGAAGCCACTCCAACGAAGAACTGAGAAACCTTGTCCGTTACACTCTTGAAGATCTGGGACCCAGAAAAAACAGGCCCAGACACTAACTAGCCCACTAGGGCAACAGGGAGCAAAGGCGTAAGCTGTAAGTGGTTATGTAGTGTTAGTAGTAATTAGCATGCATGTATAAGTAAGGTGTAAATTAATAAGATGCTCATGCTAGCAAACTGCTAGCATGGAGAATGCGATGCTATGGCGTACCGCTGCCGGAGCTGACAAATTCTTAAAGAGGAGCACAAGTTTTAAAGGATAACTCCCGAAAACTCGTAGTACAAAAAAAGTGGGTTTTTTAGTTGCAAGAATCCAACACTACCCAGGGTTCGGAAGGAACACTGTGTGTCTTCGCGAAGATTTTTATTCCTCCAGCCGCCGGGCAAAGATGATCAGAATAGATCAGATAGATGATCAGAATTTATACCGCAGATTGAAGAGAACTAAGCCCTTTGAATTGATATACTGTTTTAAGGGTTTGACCATGAACGCATGGTGTGCGTGTAAATATTGTCAATCTCCTGTGACGCTAAAGCTTGGAAAGTCAATGAACTGACTTAGTTAACTACCCTAATTTTAAAATTACAGATAAAAACTGATGGTTGGTCATGCTTGACTAGTTTTAGTAAATAATATTATTAAAAAAAATTTGTGGTACGGAAACTGAGGGCACTTACATCGTTGATCAAGTTGTTGCTAAGGCACAATTTGGTTAGATTCGGGAAACAATCGGCCTTCGCCTGAGCAGTCCCAAAGTCAATCCGCTCCAGTCGGATGCCGCCAATGTTCAACTCCTGCAACCCTTTGATCGTGTTCAGTTTCATCACCTCCTGCCATTGCCCGATGGGGTTGTGTTCCAAATCCAAAATTTCCAGGTTTTTAAAATGCCTGCTGTCCGTGTCCAAGTGAGTAATGTTGTTGTCGTTCGCACGCAGTTCGTTAATGTTTGGAAAAATTAGCGACAGTCGCTTGATGTCCTGCCAAGTGAGGCGCATGTAACCACAAATGAGAATAGTGATTTTGGGAAAAACAGGCGGCGGCTCTTCGGGGAAAGTCAGCAAATTAGCGTTGACATTGAGCCAGAAGAGTTGGTCCAGCTGTCTGCAAACATCGAACACCGTCTGCCATGAGTTGAGCAAATTCTTCGACAGGTCCAGTTGCTGGATGTTTTGGAAGAGCGTGTTCAGTTGACTGGGATCTCCCAGGCTGCTGACATGTTGCGCCCGAGCGCTGATCATTTTCAGCGACTCAAACTTCCCCTGCTTGCTGCTGACTTTGTCAAAGCCCACGAACTCGATGAACGGGGCATTGATGGATCTTTGCAAGCTGATAATCTGCTGCTCATGGATTCGCTTCGCTATATCGCTCTCCTCGTTGCCATACTGGGCCGCGATGGCCTCGATCAAGGTCCGCCCGAAATTCAGCTTTTCCCTCCTCACAAAGGAGCCAGCAGTCGGGTGCCTACCCAAGGCAGTAGTTTAAAACCTTTACATCCGCCTGTACAAACACTTACCCAGTTTGGAAGAACTGCACTCCATTGACTGTGCCATTATGTTTGCCTCTGCTCGGGTTGTCCCACTCGATGCCGTACCACTGGCCGGCATGCTCAGGCAGCAGTCCTACAAAGCGAACGGTGCCAATGAACCCTCCGGACTCAATTCGGCTCCCAACTGCCTCCTGCTGGATGGAATTGTCGCTCGAGACCATTCCAGTTTGCGTTTTCATGGGCTGCAAACAAGCTGGAACCAAGAAACAGGGATAACAAGCTAATTTAAGGTCGCTCCTTCATGCTCACCTAATTTTTCACATAAAACACACCGGTTTATTTGGTTTTTTTCGTTTAAAAATAGCAGACTGTGCACATAGTTTACTTTTCCAGCCCCAGTTTGACGTCTATTGCTATTGTCAGCTGTGGCCTGTGATTGACAGAGCTGTGTCTCATAAAAAAGGGCGTGGCACGGGAATCTTTGATCATCCATTTTCAAGTAACAAATTTTATAAACTATAATTAATTAGATTAAATTAGATAATTAAATAAGGACCATAAATAATTAATAGGAAAATTTTCCCAATCATTTGATACGGATTTTTACTTAATGAATTGCATGAATGTGTATTGTGCAAGTTTAACTATTCAAACAATCGGGCAACATGGCCATTTACCAACTAGACTATTTGTTGACAAGTGCCAACGCTAAAATCCAAAGAAAAGTTAGTATTAATTGAGTATTTTTTAAGTGTTTCAACTTTAACACATTCGGAATCGTCTTCAGGGTGTTTTTCACCAGTCATGGGTAAGCAACTGCATACATATTATCGACTTGGAAACAGAGGGTTCAGGGTAGTTGGATCTTGATTATAATAAGCACACAGCCAATTTATCAACATTTCGCTACATCTAATCGTAGTAAAATAGGCGTATAAATTGGGGAAGTATTTGCAACTTATCACCGTATTAGTTAGACGCTTTGCAACAAAACCTATAGCTAGAGAAACATTTTCATCAACAGTTTGGAACGCGGCACTTTCTTTTCATCTCACCTAAACAATCAAACAACTTCTTACATTACTCCAAGTAGATGCACATTTGATTGGTTGAGGCTTCTACTTTGCAGGTAAATGGTGACGGTCACCGGTAATCACACGCATTGTGGGTTTGCTCCTTTTCGAAGGCCCCTAACTTGCAAGGACATTTTCACTTCCTAACTTGGTGGTTGGCTTTACTAGCACATTTCGTAGGTTTTAGCGCGCTTTAGATGCATGCTGATTCTCATTATGGAGCGCAGTTTCGAATGCAGCAGCTGCTCTAAGAGTTTTCAGGGCTCGCATGATCTCCGCAGACATCTGCGCACCCACAGCAACGAACGCCCGTTTGTGTGCGGTGAATGTAACCAGGCCTTTAGGCAAGCGGGTACGCTCAAGAACCACATAACGGCCATTCATTGCAAGTTAAAGGAGTTGTTCCGGTGCCAGGAATGCGACCAGACGTTCGCCTTAAAAGATCGCCTGCGGCTGCATCAGCGCAAGCATACAGGGGAGAAGCCGTATGTCTGTGAGTTTTGCGGCAAACGCTTTGCCAGAGGCGGGCAGCGTCTCCAACACATGCGAGTGCATGACCGGAACAAACCGCACGCCTGCGATATGTGCTCAGCTCGGTTCACATGCTCGCAAAACTTGAGCCTGCACAAAAACTCGCACTTTAACCTAAAGCCGTACGTGTGCGACTTGTGCGGCAAGGAGTTCACTAGGCGCGACGCCCTTTTCAAGCACTTGAGAAACTTTCACGAGAACATCAAGGCGTTCCGCTGTCCCATTTGCTTGAAGTGCTTCAAGGGTCACCTGAGGCAACATCTGCAAACGCACAGCAAAAACAAGCCCCACAGATGCACTCAGTGCGGAAACTCCTTCGCTCAGAGGTCCCAACTGGTCGTGCATGCGCGAGTCCACTCCGGTGAGCGCCCCTACAGGTGCCAAATCTGCTGGAAAGGTTTCGCGCACTCAACGGCCCTCAAACTTCACCAACGCGTCCACACTGGAGAAAAGCCCTTCGCCTGCCCGATCTGCTGCTCTGCATTTACTCAAATGCCTCACTTCAAGAAGCATATGCTCTCCATCCACAACTTGCAGAAGCCGTTCGCTTGCAAATGGTGCCAGGAGCTTCACAGCACCAACAAGAGTCTTCAGGAGCACGTGGAGGCGCTTCATCAGCCCATCAAGTGCGAGCAGCGCGACACGCCGATGAGCTTGAGCAAGATGAGGCTGCTGTTGGCCATTCTTCTCACTAAAATCTCCACGGAGCAGCGCCTGGTCGAACTGGGCTTCAACAAGAGGTTGATTGACGACGTCTTGGTCACCTCCATTGTGTACTCCGGTCGTTTGCCCTGTCTCGACAAGAGTCTCAGTATGGAGATGAAGTTGCGCAACAACATACGCATTCTCCTCGATTGGACGGTGCCTGTGGAGTACATGGAGAAGTTCAAATTGGAGCAAAGATCCACGGAGGAGCTGCTGGAGGAGTTGGCCTCTTAAAGCATTTTCACTCTGGACTCTTGGAGCTTGTACCAAAGATTTTGCATGGGTATGCTACAGTGCAATTTACACAAATTCCTTCAGGTGATTCTACAATACGTTACTCTTACGCTTTTCCTAATAAGTGCTAATATTAGCTGTATCTACTTACTGTTTTTCGTTAGGTTTGTTAGTCTGGCGATTCTGAAATCCTACTAGCCGTAGAGATTTTTGTATTATCTAATAAAAACCCTTTCGAGGAAAGCTATTTATTCCTTGCCGAAAGGACACAGAAGCGCAAACATTTAACTCTATGGTAACCGCTTTAAAATATCACATCCCGCTCTAACACCCGATTAAACTTTACAATCTTAACAGCTATGGACGAAGAATGTGTGGAGAAATTGAGTCAGTTTGGCACATCATCTCAGCCTTGAAATCTGATCACAAATTTTTCTAGTTGAAGCTCATTCAACTACTTAAACCATCGTAAATATGATATTCTTTGGCAAATTAATTTGAGCCTAAATTATCGATAAAAGCACAGCGAGGGTTAAAATACGAAAATAAGCTAACAGACGCTCATTTCCAGGTAATGGCTAGGGGGTTCTCGAAGGAAACGTTGAGATTGTCAATGAGCAGGCACTAAAATGCCCAAAAATCACTTACAAAGTCCTGTTATAGAGGAGCACTTACCTTGTGCACAGTGTCGAACTTGAAAGTGAATGACTGTCCGTTGACCAGCACCTGGCTGATTGGCTGCTGCAGCCCTAAGACAGTTACAGAGCCTAAATTGGGCGGATATTCCTGTGCCCAAGCCAAGCTTTCGCCCCGCAAAATGCCATTTTCCAGCTTGAAATCAATCAGGGAATATCGTTTTTCTTCGATAGTATCTGAAAACACCAGCACTGTAGTTCTATGTAAGGCGCTAAAGCCCACAACTCACTCAATGAATCTCCGTCGTCCCAAAAAAGCTCACCGAGGGCTGCGCCGTTCTCGTCAGGCGCAACCAAGAGCTCAATCGAGGTCTTTCTGCTCTCTGTGGTAGTGCGGAGAGGCGCCTGGCGCGGTAAAATGGTGCCTCCTCGAATAAACACCGGAATAGTGTCCAGAGGCGCACTCACATTTACATACTCTCCCGCACTCGTTACCTGAGCCTTAGAATAGTAATCAAACCAAAGTGCTGCGGGGAAATAAGCCTTTACAGTCGTGGCGTTTTCCTGCAAAATCACCCTATACCACCTTGCAACGAAAAACCGACAGGGAATATTCACCTCTAAAACTGGCACGATCATAACGGCGCTTCCCCATAGGAATTGGGTGTCAATGCCGAATGTTTTCTTATCGCTGAAGAACTCGAAGAACAAGGGGCGAGCTACTGTATCGCCATCAACGTGCGCCCTGAAGAACAGCGTGTACAAGTAGGGCAGAAGGGCGTATCTCACTTCCAGGGCCTTCTTAGTGGATGCCACCACCAAATCGCCCATTGAGGCGGGATCCTGCGGCTAAACATCCTACTTAGCAAGCCTTTTGCTTCTCGTATCAGGCAAAACCACTCACTATCCCATCATCAGTGTTGTGGTTGCGGGAGAATGGGTAAAAGGCGCCCAACTGCTGCCACCGATTACACAGCGCTACAGTAGTGTTGCCGTTGAAGCCGCAAATATCAGCGCCCATCAGCGGTATGCCAAACAGACTGAAGCTCAATAAATCTGCAACAAAATCATGGAAATATCATTCTTACTTCAAGAAGAAACTTACGGGGAATGCTCTGCTTCAGGCCGTCCCATGTGGAAAAAACGTCGCCGCTCCAATGTCCGGTATAGTGCCCCAGCCCACTGAACGTCGATCTTGAAATTACCATGGGACGTGCGCCTCTGATCACTGCCATGGCGCTATAAATAAAATAATTTATCTGTTCCCTTTAACTAGTGATTTGCGGAACCTACAAGCTGGTAATAATGGCTTCGGTGAACCCGTACAAGTTGTGCACATCGTAATGCAGCCCTTCGTAGTGTTTAGCGGTCATGCACATAGTTTTGTAGTTGAGAACGCCCCCATCCACTGCTGGTACATACGGGGGGCTTTCCAGTTCCGACTTGGGGCAGCCGCTAAAGGAGCCCGATAGAAAGTTGGACGGTTCGTTCATGTCGATCCAGGCGCCATCAAAAGGTACCTCTTTGTGGAAGTCCCTCAGCATCAGCGTCCAGTAGTCCACAGTGTCGGGGTTGGTAAAGTCGGGCCACACTGTTGAATGCGCGTTCCACACCTGGAACATTGTCCCATAAGCCTTAACCTCCTAGCCTTAAACCTCCAAACACGCACTTTGCCAATAAACGGCTGTCCTGAGGAATTCTTTACAAAAATCCCCATGTTAATCCCGACATCATACGGCGGGTAAGTGCCTGGCTTTTCAGCTGCGCTAACGCCCGGATCGACCAACGGGATATAATGCATCCCGATCCCATGCAGCGCCGCTACAAACTCGGGTAAACCTTCGTACTTAATATGGTCGTAGGTGAAGTCGTTACTGTTGTTCATGTAATCCAGATCGTTCCACTGGGTGTCCTAAAAACGCCCACCCTCAGCTGAGTCTTTTGGGGGGCAAACAGCCACTTACAATAGGAATGCCCGCCTTTAGATTGCTGTCCAGCACCTCGCGCGTTTCGTTCAAAGTCTTGTAGCCGAAGCGACACAGATGAAAGCCCAGGCCCCAATAGGGCGGCATAAAAGGCCGTCCAATCAGTTCGGTGTATTGCGCGATCACATCTCTAGGGCTCGGCCCCATGAAGAAGTAGAAATCCAAGATGCCGCCTATGGTGCGAAACGTTACAGCTGGGGTGGGTTGCAGCAAAATATCTGGATAATATTAATCGTTTTTTCAAGTTTTCATTACTCGCAACGTGCACGCACCCATGGCATTGCTATTCAGTAGAAAAACCCCGTGACTTCTGGACGAATTCTCCATCAGAAGATAAAACGGGTGCGACCCATACAAGTTTTCCTGTAAAATTAGCGGAATCTTAGTGCGCTCATTGCACAAGAGCGGTTACTCACGTTGGGCCAGGGAGGATTATCATGGTTCCACAGGGTGAATCTGGCCCACTGAGTGCTAAGAAGCAAGTTCGAAGTGTGGTCCCCAAGACCATAAATATACTCAGACGGTAGGCGGCTGCTCATTTGCATGAACTGATTGGAGAAAGTGAAATCCAAAAAGCTATTTGAGTCGAATCTGAAAACAACGCAAAAAACATCGCGCCCATCTTCACGTTGTCTCGAAACTCACATGGTGGTGTTATCGGCCTTCCTTACCACCTTGAAGCCGGGCTTGAACATGTCCAGCTCAAAAACGAAGTTCAAGTTTTGAGCCGCGCGATCGACCACCGGCACCTCGGGGAAAAACGGCTCAAAGCGATTGTTAGCCGGGTCGGTGAACTGAAAAGCCTCAAACATTAACGAGGACTGGCCTACGGCCTCTCAACCTGCCTTGACATGCAGCCGGTTCTCCGTCTCGTACTTGACCACCATTTGAATGTCCGTAACATCCTGGGGGTAGCCGCTCAAGTACTTTCTTTGCAAAAAGGCCACCAGACCAAAGGCAGTCTGTGTCACGTTTACGATCTTGTAAGTCTCATGGTTGGGCGGGTAGAAGCAATATGGCACGTCCAGCGGAATGTTGTTAATTTCTATAAACATTTATTAGCTAGCCGTTCGTTGGCTGCAAGCACTTACGAAATCAACCCTTACTTTTGGGCTTAGTTTTAGCCGGTATCCAACAACAGCCTCTGGCCTCACATCCTTCTAAACTAGCCCCATTCTCGGGAAAACAGTCGAATTTATCACCATCCTTCAACAGCTTGCACTGTCCATAATCTGGCTTGGGAGGTGGCAGCAGTTTGATAGGTTCGCTGGACGGTTCCACTGGTTTGGTCGAAACTGACTGCGCCTGCATTACCCCAAAAGGCTGCACGATCGGGTTGCGCTTCAATGCTCGATCCTCGTATACGACATCAAACCGATTCACCAAATATATAAGAGGAACTATCAGAAAAACTGCCGCCAGAACTAGCAAAACTATGGAAGACATCGTGGCTGGACTTGAGCGGGACGAGTTACTGCCCTTCTGGGCCCCTGGGGCGAATTGTTTGTAAACGGACGGCTGTAACAATGCATGATCTATAAACTTATGTTTAATTACTATCAGTGTGAACATACACGGTGCTTTCTAGGCGAAATATCAAAGGAATTATTCAGAGATGAGTCCTTGAGCCCAGGGTGTCTGTCTGAGGTCGCTTCATTCGAACAGTCTTCCAAACTCACAGAGTTGGAGAGAGTGAATCGTTGGGGCTTTCTCGTCCGAAATGAGGTGATTATGTTGCGGATTTTCATCTTGCACCCTAATTTAAACACAAAAATCAATCTGAAGCAAAAGTCTGGATCGTTAGGAGGCCCTACTCTGTTCCCAGAGCTTTGTCCGGGATTTATCTGTTATCTTGAGCTGGAAATAATGGGTTCAATGCACTAATGTCTCAAGAATAACGAATGTAAATCGCAACTGTTTGACGTACGTTGTGGTACGTTGACAAATAAACAAAAACAAGTCTTCGGGAGTTTGGCATTGCCTAATGGAGAAACGTAAATATGATAGATCTATCTCTGTCATGAACGTGCAACTAAAACGATGGTCGCTCAAGTGACATAAAGTGGACCGTAAGACGAAGTCTATTAAAAAAAAAATTTCTTTTTAATTTTATTTGCGTCTACGGAGCAGCATATACTTTTTAATAATAATAGAATATAATATAATTATATTTTAATAATAAGTATATGCGGAGCAGACGCCTGCATCTATCCACGTTTTGTTGTACAACTGATTGCCTACTACACAGGGATAAATTGTTTAAGGATGCTCCGTAGACGCAAGTATAATTTTTACATACTTAATTTTGCAACAAAATGACAATAATTTTCAAGCACCTGAAAAAAATAGCATAAAGATTAATATTAATTATGCCCTTATTTTATTTTCATTATTTCCGATTTATTTGATAAAAATTATTGATTCATGGCGTCGGACTGGTGGCCAAAAATTGGTTTTACTGGCAACATGGCCCCGATTTCACACGAGGGCACCCCTTCAGTTGTCAAATGGATGTCAATGCCATTGCCATTCTAGTGTTTGATCAATTCATGAAACTTTATACTTTAATCTAATTAAACGTGTGAATTAAACATATTAGTGACCCAAGAATACGGTGCGAAAGTGTTCAAGCATGGACAAGTAAGTTCTACAAGCTAATTTCATGGCCCCATGGCCACGCAGTGCCAGGTCAAAACTCAGCAAGCCTTCGAATAACAATCAAAACCACACTTATTTGTCTAGGGCCTGTTGAGTTTTTCAATATTTGGCTCCTGTTAGCATGTAGCCGGAAATCTTGCTCTTAAACCCGCAGAGCTCGCTGTGATTGTTGATGATCGACTTAAATCTAAAGCTTTGGTCATCTATTTGCAGAAAAGTGACGGTGTGTGAAGCTACGAAGAGCCCATCAAGGAAGAAGTCGAAAAAGGAGCACAAGCACAAACACAAGAAGCACTCAGCAGCCGAGAAGCCGGAAAAGGACAAGCAAAAGAAACACAAGAAGCATAAAAAACACAAGCACAAAGATCGCGAGCCAACAACCCCCGAGGCAACCGACCATTACACTCCGGAGCGTGTTGTTAAGCTAAACGATCCAATGATCAACGGTAATTCCAAAGTATCCTTACAACCACCGACAGTGGTTGACGATGTTGCTGAGTATATCCTTGAAGGGCTTGTGGAAAAACCCGCATCGGTGGAGGGCATTTCGTCAGAAGAAAACAGCGTCGATGTGCCTGAGCAGGATTGCGACTCAGATGCCATTGATATGAACGTTATCGAGGCAGACATGGACCTGGAGGAACTGATGAAGCAGAAGGAGCTGCTCCAAGCCCAACTGGCATCAGCTTTTGTAGACGAAGGCGCGAAAGAGAAGAATGGTGCAAAAAACCAAACGGTGGTGATTGAGGACGAAATCATTAATCTGCTGGATTCCGATGAGGAGCCCGAGAAGAAAAAGTCAAAACGAGACCTGCCGAGGCCTAGAGAGCGGATCAGGGACAAGGATAGGCGTATTAAAGAGCTACTAGAGAAGGACAAGCAGCGGGAAAAAGAAAGGCAAAGGGATAAGGAGCATGACAGGATGAGGAACCGGGAACGCTCCAGAGACAATCGGCATTCTAACGAAAAACCTCGCGATGGATTCCATAGGGATTTGCGGGACTATCACCGATACCGGGATAACCAGAAATGGGACCCCCGGAGCCGGGACAATAGAGAGAGGGACAGGGACAGAGACCGGAAAACTAACACGGAGAGGGATAGAAAACGTCGCGATAGAAACCGCAAAAAAGGAAAAGACCATGACAAATTCAAAGTGAGTTCAAAAATCAGCTGGTGATTATCAGCTAATATTCACTGGATGTTTTGTTTTTAGGATTCTTTGAGCGAAGGCCAGTCAAAGACCAAGGAAGACTCTTCAGACTCGGATGTGCAAATCGAACTGGACATCGACATCATCGACGATGAGGATGAGGAAGCCATAATCGAGAAGCGGAGAAAAGAGCGGGAGGAACTAATGAAAGTAAGTATGCGCTTAGGCAGTGCACCAAGCAGCACTAAATGGGGGCAATTTCAGCGTCTAGGCGCCGGCAATGACGACTCGAACACAAACTCCTCTCAACAATCTAGTCCACAGCAGGAGGAGCAGAAACCTGAACCGCCCGCTAATATTGAACAGATAAAGAACGGCAGCAATAAGGACAGCAGTGATTCTTCCAAAGGCCCGACGAAAAGTAGGATAGAAGGCAGGCCGATTTAAAAGCTCCTATTTTATTAACTCGTTTTTCAGCGCACGAATCAAAAGCTAGCAGCAACTCGAGCCTGGAGGAGGAGTCTCTGACGCCTCCCCTGCTCCCCAATATGAAGCCCAAAGAGCCCGAGAAGAAAACCGACGTGAAGGGCGCAAAGAGGGCAGAGTGGGACATGTTCTCTGAACAGGACGTATTCAAACACAACACTAATGTAAGTTTGATGTGTGTGTATGTGCGAAAATGTATCGAGCCGCATGTTTGCTTTTAGTCTCCAAGTACCATAGTAAAGTCCAAGGGCTCTGGAGCTGAAAACCCGGCACTTACAGACAACTGGGACGATGCCGAAGGCTATTATAGGTAAAACCGGAATTTTTCAACGAGACAATACCTAATGTTTCGTTTTTAGAGTGAGAATTGGGGAAATCCTCGACACCAGGTATATGGTTTATGGGTATACCGGCCAGGGGGTGTTTAGTAACGTGGTTCGAGCTCGAGACCAGGCGCGCGGCAATCAGGATGTGGCCGTGAAGATAATAAGAAATAACGAAATCATGTAAGTAATAACACGTTACAGTTAGGTTGGGAGCTAAGACGTAACTTTCCTGTATCGCCGCTTCTTCACTTTATCTTAACTCTTTAGTAAAGAGGATTTGCTGATTTTTCGACTAGCAGATTTTGCAGATGTTTTGTTGCAGGCACAAAACCGGACTCAAAGAGCTGGAAATTTTGAAGAAGCTCAATGACGCCGACCCGGAGGACAAAATGCACTGTCTGCGCCTCATTCGCCATTTCTTCCACAAGCAGCACTTGTGCATGGTGTTTGAGCCGCTCGCTATGAATCTGCGGGAAGTTCTGAAGAAGTACGGCAAGAATGTCGGACTACACATCAAGGCAGTGAGGAGCTACACTCAGCAGCTGCTGCTGGCCCTGAAGCTGCTGAAGAAGACCGGTATATTGCATGCAGGTAATTTATATTCCTCCTAAACCCTTTCGGACCTTAACGAGAGGTTTGCGTTTCAGATATAAAGCCCGATAACATCCTAGTCAATGACAGCAAGCTGGTGCTGAAATTGTGCGATTTCGGGTCGGCGTCGAAAATCAACGAGAACGAAATCACACCGTACTTGGTGTCGCGCTTCTACCGAGCTCCGGAAATCATCCTGGGCATGCCCTATGACTATGCCATCGACATGTGGAGCGCAGCCTGCACTATCTACGAGCTCTATGCAGGCCGCATTCTCTTCTCTGGCAAATCCAACAACCAAATGCTCAAATTCTTCATGGACCTGAAAGGCAAATTCCCGAACAAAGTGATCCGGAGGGGCGCCTTTAAGGAGCAGCACTTCGATAGTAACTGTAACTTTTTGTACCATGAGATTGATAAGGTCACAGAACGGGTAAGTCGCTCGATTTGCTTTTGCTACTACTCTAACTTCTCTCGTGTATATCATTAGGCCAGGAGGGTTACAATTGGCATGGGTCTAACGGGACGTAACCTATTGAAAAGGTTGCTATAAAAACGGAAAAACAATGCGAAAATCGCGTTTTTTTTCCCGGAAAAATTACCGAATCACACCATACATTTAGAGAAAAGTATTTGACTGCAATACAAAACGAGCTCCGCAAGGTAATGATGCCAGGCTAGGAAATTTTTCCTAGTTCTAGGGATTTTTCTCAGGCAAAAGGAATTTGTTATAATTATCTAGGGATTTAAAAAAATATATTTCTGGGAAGAAAACATTAATATATCGGACTACAAAAGGCTAACGAGTACAGAGCTTTTCCTCAAACAAAGGGAAATGGGGATTTGTTAAAATTATCTAGGAATTTTTAAAATTTTTCGTTTATCTGCAAAGAAAAAATAATTCTGGGACGAAAATATTAAAATATCGGACTACAGAAGGCCGACAAGTAGAGAGCAGTGATGCCATACTAGGGAATTTTTCTCAGGCAAAAGGAAAAAGGGATTTGTTATAATTACCTAGAGATTTTTTACATTTTTTGTTTGTCTGCAAAAAAACAAAAAAAATAATTCTGGGAAGAAAATATTAAAATATCGGACTACAGAAGGCCAACAAGTAGAGAGCAGTGATGCCATACTAGGGAATTTTTCTCAGGCAAAAGAAAAAAGAGATTTGTTAGAGTTATCTAGGGAGTTTTAATTTCCCGGAAATTATCTTTACTGGGATGCAAAAATGAATACACCTGCAGCGAGTGTGATTTGCAACTGCCCCATCTACGTATAAACTTTGTCAAATACCTATTTAAATTAAAGCTTAAATTTAAAAGAATAACTAAGAACACAAATTGAAGTAAACTGATAATCAGTTCCATTTTTTTACATAATTTTGCCGATCTGACATAATCTAGCTGAAAAAGTTGTCCTAAAAAATCTCAAAGTTATGAATATTATAAAAAATGGAAAATGGTTAATATAGCATAGTTTAAGGGTCCAAGGTGTATAAGCGCGGCCGCAAAAAAATATTCATAACTTTGAGCCCGACACAAAATTTAGAAAAAGGTTTTTTTTCAGGTCGATTATTTCACAATTGCATTATGCAAAAATTGTCTGTCCCATCTTAATCGGCCTTGCGGCTCTCGTTTTGTATTACAGTCAAGTACTTTTCTCTAAATGTATGGCGTGATTTGGTTATTTTTTCATTGTTAAATAAATAATTTAAAATTACCTTGTTTTTTACCCACATTTTTGCACTTTCGGGCATTTTGCAGCGAACATTTCTAATCTACGGATATCGGACCGACTCTACCTTGTACAAAATTTCGAGCAAATTTATAAGTATACATTTTTTCTCTAAAATGCTTTTTTACCGAGTTGTGTGCGATTGTTTTCGGGAAAAACGCTATTTTTGCATTGCTTTTCACTTTTTAGTTTTTTGAGCAAAAAGCACACCTTTTCAAGCGGGCGTACCCCGATATTTTCAATAAGTATACTATTTTAGAGCCACATTTGAAAGATTTCCTCCTCTCCTAATTCTTCTGGCCTACATTCCGATTCCTCCATTAATCTAAGGGGCTTTGCAAGCAAACTGCCACCGTTTTCTGTATGCTAAGCTCGTTGTTGTATCTGTAGGAAAAGGTGGTAGTGATGACTGTGGTGAAAGTGAACCGAGACCTGCAGGCGGAGCTGGTGGCCGGTCAAGCGTTGCCCCCCGATCAGCTGAAAAAAGTTACGCAGCTGAAAGATCTTCTGGAGAAGGCGCTGGCCATTGACCCGGCAAAACGGATCAGCCTAAATAACGCCCTCACCCATCCGTTTATCCAGGATAAGATCTGATGAAACTCCGTTCTAACCGAAAAGGAGGTAAACCCAAAAAGGGCAGGGAAAGGTTTAAAACTTCCCATAAGTAGACAACAGTTTTCGCAAATTGGCACGTTAAAAATCGTTGGTTTTTGTTCAGTGAGCGGGACTCTCAAGCAACCTGGAAATATGAAATGTATTTTTTTATAAATTAAGCTAAGCATATTACTTGTTAATATTATTTGGGTTACACTAATATGTTTGAACTTTTCGACAAAGAGCTGGAATAAATCGATGACAAAAAGAGACACTTGTTATTTTGTCCCGTTGGAGTGCCGATTAATTTTCTATTGATGTTATTTTTTATTGCAGAATGGCCGCTAAAGAAGCAGAGCTGGGGCGAAAACTGGCCTTATATGCAAAGGTAGTTTAAACATGGGACTTAAAGCGCATTTAAGTGGTTTCATTCAATAGTCGCAAACGAAGAGGAAACCCTTTAACAGCCTCAGTTAGAGAGTTTCCTTTTTCAAATCTCCAATTCCACTTCAACTGGCTAATAATCGCTCTGTTCTTCTTTTCAGGCTTTTTGAATTATTTTGGGTTGTCCTGCTGGGCCTCCGGTTAAACGGCGACGATAAGTATAATAATGCGCTACACGTAACCGAATAACGATTCTGTGTTTTAGGTTTGTTAAGCTTCTTCGGCAGACGGTAAGTATGAAATTACAGGGCTGATGACACCAGCTGATGAAACCATAACCGAACGGTCGGATATCATCAGCTGCAGAGCGCAGTGAAGTGTTTCAGAAAAATATGTTCCATCGGCTTCAATAAAAATTCAGATTGAGTACCTAAAGTAGTTTCAGTTGCTGCCGTTTTGAACCCTTCTCAACTCATCAGGCGATTTAAAATCAAATAATTGTTGAAAATGCCTGCATTTCTAGAAAGTCACACATTTTCTATGCCACTGTGATAGCAAGTAGCCAGTAAAGCCTTATGTAATTCTGAACAGTGACTTGTTATTGTGGATATTTGGATTAGTGTTCATGAGGCGGAGGATGAATAAAAGCAAATACATCAACACATTTCCTAATTGCGTTCTCTAGTTTCAATGCATACTACTATACTATCAGTAAGGCTTCTAATCCTTAAACAGACTCTGACAACTGAAGCGGACCGATTAATCGCGCTCGGGGTAAAATTGGGCCAACTCCTTGGCGAGTTGTTCAGCTAGTTCTTGCGAACTAGCACCAAGCACTCGACGTGAAAGCCTGTCCACCTGAAGTGAGCTGCATTGACAAAATAGTTGAAAAACAAAAGGGCACTCACCTGTCCGCCGGCGGGGTCAATAACGGCTCCGCCCGCCTCCGTAATGATGAGCTCGCCTGCCGCAATATCCCAAATGTGGATGCCAAACTCAAAATAGGCGTCCGCTGCCCCGCAAGCCACCATGGCCATGTTGAGCGCAGCCGATCCCAAAGCTCGGAGTCTACAAACTGGAATTTCAGCCTTTTCTCAGCGCTTTACTTCCGCCTTCTTCCTACCCATGCACCTGCGGCATCAGCTTCTGTTGATTCTCTAGAATGACGCTGCGCTGCTCCGCGTTCCTGCTGGTTCCAAACTCCATCATAATCAGCGCCTCGGCCAAACGTTTCGTCCCAGACACCGTGATTTTCTCGCCGTTCAAAAAGGCCCCTTTGCCCTTCTGGGCAGTGAACAACTGGTTCATCATCGGGTTGTAGATAATTCCGATAGCTGGATGTTTGTCGACGAACAAAGCGATGGATATGCAAGAGTGCGGGAACGAGTGCACAAAGTTCATTGTTCCGTCCACTGGGTCAATTATCCAAGTGGGGGCGTCAGTCAGCTCGCATTGGGCCCCACTTGACACGCTCTCTTCGCCAATGAATTTGTGTTCGGGGAACGCTTTGGAGAGTCCATCAATGAGCAAGCGTTCCACTTCCTGATCGGTTTCAGTAACAAAGTCAATGGCACTGGACTTGGTTTCCACTTTTTTCGTTCGGGATGAGGTCCGCTCTTTGATTAACTACAAATGAAGTTACGTTTAATGCTAATAAAAGGTGCACAGGAATGTTTTCTGCTCTTTTGGCGGCGGAGTTTTGAATGTAGAAACCTGAAAATACTTCAATTCAAATTTATTTATGGTAAGTCTCACCTGGCCGCATTTCTTTGTCAATTGAAGAACCACATTGAAAAATTCATCTACGCTACCCTGTTGAGCTGCACAAGACATTTTAAAAGCCTCCAATTCCACAGTTTATCAGCGGAGTTATTTTCTGCTGCGTCTCGTTCTGGGGCGCTCGAATTAAGTGAAATAATGGCAAAAACGATTGGATCTAATCACTTTAATTCAATTTAACTCGAAAATCAAATATTTGCTTTAGTTGATATTTAGCAACGTAACTCTTGCTGTTTGTTCTCAAAAACCTGGGTAAACTTTACGTAGACAAACGGCAATTTGAATTTCCAGCTTTTGGGCCCCTCTAACCAAAAAAAAGTCGCCACTTCTGACACCGCTCAAAAATCAGTGTTGCCATCCAATCGATAAAATGGCGTCCCTGACCGAAATATTCTCTGCATCCTTGTCTGACCCGTGCGATGCGTATGTTCCATTTCAGTTCAATGGAGAGCAGGAGCATACGCGAGTGGCAAATGGTTTCGATGAAGTGCGAAGGTGATTCCGCTGAACTCTATAAGGTAATTTTTGGAGCAGGCTCTTTGCTTAGAGCCAGATCCGAAGGAAGTCTAAGCTATGAACAATTCGAAGGTTGAGTACGTATATGAGGATGAGAATGGGCAAGAATACACAACGGAACAGATGCAAGAAGAGGATGCCATGGATCAGCAGGCACCTCCTCCGGATGAGATCCAAGAGGTGATGATAGTGGAACGCCCGCTTGATGAACTGACAGTGAACGGGCGGCTTACCAGCCTTGCCCACGAAACCAATGCGGAAAGAGACCCGGACTGCAAGCGAAAAGGTAAGCAACGGCCTCGGATTGCCTAAAAATTGACATTCGTTCCTGGCGCTTGTTGTATTCATTATCACTGCCGGATCATATCGTTGCTCAGATAGTCGACGTTGTCAGTTTTCCTGTATGGTTGCAAAATAAAAACATTATACAGGGTGTTCCGTAAATGTGTTAAAATATTTTAAACAGCGTATTCTTCTAGTTATTTTAGAGGGGGTCTTCCTGATAATTTTTTTAATTTGAGGTTTCGTTGTTCAGATATTTGATCTCCAATATGGCGAAAAATAATAGTTTTTGTTGTTTTCGTTTAAAACGGTTAAACATAGAAAGTTCAATTTTGCTTGTATACATTATAAGCTAATTGAGTGCCATTTTATGATAGTGTTTCGTGGTTCAGTTTGCTTTTATACAGGGTAGAAATGTAGAACCCCTACTTTTGTTTTGTTTAGAACTTTTTTGTGTGCACTCAAACTTTTCTCGCGTAATTTTGTCAATTGCTACAAGTTATTTACCACCTTTTTTTATTTCTTATTGTTTTTTCCTAAGACCAGTAGTTTGCCCGAAAAAAATAAAATAGTTTTCTTTGTCATTCTCAAAATGTGTAAGTAATTAAGTAAATTTTTTAAAATCTAATGACGTTTTCATATAATACTTTTGGTTCAGATTAAAATTAGTAAGTTTGAATACATTTTACTTAAACAATAACATGGTAACAATATGCGCAACGATATAAACAAACAAAATTAAATTTAAATAACCAGTCTAATGTTAAGTTAGCAGCTGTTAAAATTGGCCACCTTGACATTCTTGTCATAATCGCAGTCTTTTAATTAAATTAAACATTTACAGACCGTAAAGTTTGCACTGAAGTTCTTATTTCGTTAGAAATATTAAATATTCTTTCCTGAAGTTCTTCGATTGTATTCCCTTCTGTTGAATACACCGTATTTTTTAAATGACTCCAGAAGCAAAAATCAAGCGCGTTTAGACCCGGAGATCTGGGAGGCGAGTTTATAGGAGCTTCTTGACCTTTTCCAATTCAGCGACTTGGAAAGTTTTGATCAAGCCGAAACAATTTAATTTTTTGCGGGCAAACTAGTGCTCTTAGGAAAAAACGATAAGGGATCAAAAAGCTGATAAATAACTTGTAGTAATTAAAAAAATATGTTGATAAAAGTTTAGGTGCACACAATAAAGTTCTGAACGAAGCAAAAGTAGGGGTTCCACATTTCTACCCTGTATAAAAGTAAACTGAACTACAAAACACTACCATAGAATGGTAGTGAACAATTAGCTTATAATGTGTACCAAAATTGAAGTTTCCAATGTTATCAAATATCTCAAAAATGAGACCTCAAATTAAAAAAATTCTCAGGAAGACCCCCCTCTAAAATGACTAGGAGAACACGCTGTTAAAATATTTTAACATATTTACGGAACACCCTCTGTATAATAACTAAACTCCAAGATCTAATATTATTGGGAGAATTTGAACAAAGTTGATTTAACTCAAAAATTAAATCATAAGTCACTGGACCAATCCCCAAAAATATGAATTTTTCCTCAATAGTTTCAGAAACAAAGCCTCTGCATGAATAATTAATTGTTCTCAATTGGAATAAAAAAAACTTGCTTAAACACATGAAAAAAATTAGTAATAATAATAATTACTTGTTTCAGATTCACATCACTGTTGGGGAATTCAGCAGTCGCTGAAACTGATCGAATCAATGCGGGATTTCAAAGAAGAAATGGCAAATACCACCAATCGGCGCGAAGTCTGGCAAAAAATCCACAAAGATGTGAACAATAAAGGACTGATAGTGAGCGTGCAAGAGTGCCAAAACAAATGGAAGAACCTGATCCGAAGCTACAAGGAGTGCAGTAAAATGAAGAACAAAGACAATATGCGGTTTCGGTACTACAAGGAAATGTGCGATTATTTTGGAGGCGAGGCGGTTCCGCATGTGGACCACGACTACAACAAGACTAAACTGACGCTGAGGCCACTGCTGTCCAAAGACTCACCCACAGTAACTTTTCCCCCAATTTGCTTCACCGACAGACAGTTTATGGAATATACGAACATGAAGCGCGAAGAGTACGCAGCTCGCCAAAAGAGACACGAAGAAGAGATACTGTTGCGAAAACAGGAACTGGAAGTGCAGAAGAAGAAACTGGAGGTGATGAAAAAGGCGGCAATGGCCAATCTGCAAGGCACGAAAAGCGTGAATTTCGGTAAACGAGCTAGAGCTAATAGTAGTAGTGATAATCCTAGCGTTAAGCGGAAACCCAGTGAGAACATGCAGGTCATACAGCACCAGCCGAATCTTGAAATTTTCACAAATTTGACTTTTTGAAGACGTTTTTGTTTCTTGTGAGTTGAAGCTTTTTGTTCTTTGTTGGTGTTTTCACTTGCACGGAAATAAACAGTGATAAAAATGAAACAAGGGCTCTATCAATTAAATTCTAGCTAATAGACACCTGCTCTGGATGAAGGCACCAATCAAAAGCATACTCTCCGAAGCAAAAACGACAATATCGCCATTTAACAACGACCCCATTTTAGATTTTCCTTGCCGTTGGCCGGATGAGGCGACTAGTTTACTGATTTCAATCATTCGACGCCGAAAATACGAAATCGCTGACACAAATCAACAGAAAAAACCAGCGCTATGGAACGAAATCATGCAAGAAATGATCGATAACGGCTATCAAGTCACCGTCAAGGAAATCAAATCGAAATGGAGGAACCTGATCAGAACGTACAACTTGAGGTTGAAAAACCCGCGCCAAAAAGGCTTTAAGTTCAAGTTTTTCAATGATATGTTGTATTTTTTTAAGGAAACTGAGTCGCTCGGCATTGACCCTGTAGTTTTCGAAGTTTACGGCCTCGAATAGTTTCGCTTCTCGTTTCTTTCGAACATTTTTTTTATAACAAATAGTTTTTGTTTCGATACTTTTTCTCCTTGAGCTAACCATTTCATTACCTAAAAATATTATATGTCGATAATATTTACTAAATTAGTGTTTTATTTAAAAAAATTCCAGGATCATTAATTCCTTGCAGTAAGTGCACTTTAAGAAAGTATCAACGATGTGATTTCAGTCACGCCCATTAATGTGCGTTCCTAAAATCGACTACTATCCGTCAACTTGGCAGCGGCGCTGTCCATCTGTCAAAAGTCAGGTACGTTCATGAATGTCAGTCAGTGTCAGTTGTTCAGTTTACGTGAGTGGAAAATCATTAACCTGCTGATGTGTTTTGTGTTATCCGTTTGCTTGATGTGAAAACAACGTTTTTATACGAAAATGGTGAAACGCAAGGCTTTCATCGATAGTGACTCCAGTGAAAACTCCGAAAGCGACTTGGATTCGGTAGGTAGCCGCATTTAACCTAACTTCTGGGAAAACCTTCGAATTTTGGGAAAAACCTCGATTAGCATTCAGGCGCAATTGGCGGGGCTACAGAAAAAATCGTCACTGGGGTGACCTTTTGTGACGTTCCCAGTTTGACGTCAGAATTGAGAAAAACTCATGTTTTTCAGTTGCCTTGTTTTTCACGTGCCTTGTTTTTCATGTGATTTTCCAATTAGGAATTCCTGGGGCTGGCGAAGAACAAAGGCAACAAGAAGTCGTCTCCGGGCCAACGGTCTACGTCGGGGGGCTCCAGTGCTTCAGACAGCGACACTGAGAAGAAGCCCACCAAGAAGAAGGTCAGACGAGACAGTGCGAGTTCAGAATCTGAGCCTGATGCGCCCAAGCCCGAACCCAAATCTGTAGCCTCCAAACGTTCAGAGCACTCGGAACCGGAAGAAGGTTTGCACGCGCTCAACTTTGTCAACTCAGCACAAGCCACTAACGATATGATTTGCAGGCGAAGTATCGGACTCTTCGGATAGTTCAGAGGAGGAGTTCAATGATGGATACGATGATCAGCTTATGGGCGATGCGGAAGATAGGGCTCGGCTTGCCAGCCTCACTGAGAAGGAGAGGGAGACTGAAATATTTAAGAGAATCGAGCGGCGCGACATGATGAAGACTAGGTAATCATAGTTCACATTGTTTGTTTGCTTGTGACTTGTTTACGGCCGGTTGTCAAATTGCCAGGCAGTGTCACCCTTTTGGTATCGTTGCAGATTTGAAATAGAGAAAAAGCTGCGCCAGCAGAAAAGGCTAGAACGGGCCAGAGACAAGCCATTTGTCAGGCCAAGGGATAAGGACCGCGACAAATCTCGGAAAAGAGAAGACGAAAAGATTTTTAAGGAGAAAACTAAATCCAAAGAGGTGGATAAGGAACAGGTCAGAAACGAGGAGCAAGAGGAGGAGCAGGACGCGAGCAGGCTTCAGCTGGACTTCAGCTCCATTGATCACAAGGAGCGCAGCAAGGAGCGCAAAAAGAACATCGAGGAGAATAGGGGGAAGACTGACAACAAAAGGTGGGATTATTGAAATAGCAAGAATTCTGTTGGTCGTTGTTTGCCAATGCGCTCCTTTATCCCCATCTTTGCTCAGGTTCAATGCGATGGCCGAGTTGAAGGCGCGCAGAGAGGACAAGCAGAAGCGCGAGGAGGCCGAAGAGGAACGGAAAAGAAAGGAGGAAGAAAAGCGCAGGCAAGAGCAGGAGGAAGACCAGTTGTCCAAAAAGAACGAAACTAAACTAAAGGCATCAGACATCTACTCCGATGACAGTGATAGTGATAACGGTACAGCAGCGGTAGACTGTTTAAGAGCGTGCTTTAACCCTGAATTTTTGAGTTTAGATGCCAAAAAGTCGCCGTTAAGAGACGGGGGTCGGTCACTGTCCAGATCCCGATCGCGCTCAGGCTCAAAGTCGCGATCCTCCAGCTCAAGTTCGAGCAGCAGCTACACCGAACAAGACGACGAAGTATCGAAGGTCACTGCCTATGTGCCCACCAGGCAAGACTTGAACACCATCAGGTAACTCTTAGTTGTCCTTTCATGTGCTGTTTTTAAATCTCAACCTGTTTTCCAGGCTGTCCAGGTACAAACTGGAGCGGTTCGTACACATGCCGTTCTTCGACCGAATTGCCAAGGGATGTTTCATCCGAATAGGCATTGGTCAGAACAATGGCACCTCGGTTTACAGAGCTGCCGAGGTGATGGGGGTGTATGAGACGGCCAAAATTTACCAACTTGGCAAAACCAGAACCAACAAAGTAGAGGTAGCAAAATACGGCTAGATCCGCTTGACTAATTATTTTTGATTTAGGGCCTAAAAGTGAGACATGGAGCGCAAGAGCGCGTATTTCGTCTGGAGTTTGTGTCGAATTTCGAGTTCACGGAGAGTGAATTTCAACAGTGGATTGAGGCCAACAGTGCGGCTGGCAAGGACTTGCCCACCAAAGAGTGGATAGAGCAAAAGCAAGCAGACATCAAAGAAGCCATGGGGTACGAGTTCAACGAACAAGACGTGGAGCGAATCGTAAGATGGTTGTTGAAAACAAAAACGGATCATGTGGTGACGTGCTTTGTTTGTAGATCAAGGAAAAAGAGCGTTTCAAACCCAATCCGCACAACTATGCCATGAAAAAGGCCACGCTGATGAAAGAAAGGGACGCCGCATCGGCCAGAGGTGACGAGGAATTCGCCCGAGAAACCAGTGAACAGTTAGCGCAGCTTGAAGAGAGGTTAGCTGTTTAAACCCAACTGTTCCATGTAGTGCTAAAAATTATCTTGCTCCACAGGGCTTCGGAGTTGGACAAAAGGCGGACTGCCACAATTTCAAGCATCTCCTACATCAACGACCGGAACAGGAAGCGAAACGTTGAGGAAGCCGAAAAGGCAATCTTGGCGGAAGTGCGCGCCAACAAGGGCCGAAAAGTGAGTGGCAACGCACCTCCTAACTTCAGTGCTTAACCAGGACTGTTTCTAGATTGACGACCCGTTCACGAGAAGATCCACCAAGCCCCGAATGAATTTCAAGGCTGGAGAAAAGGAGGCAATAGCAGCAGCAGATGAGGAGGCGGCAGCCTTGCTGATGGCCGGCGAGCAAAAGGCTGTGGAAAAGCAGCAGCAGAAGAAACAAGACGACAAGGAGCCTCAGGTCTCGCAAGAAGATCTGTTTTCGGCCCATGATTTTGACATAAAAATCGACTTTGAAGTGCCTCTGCCAGGTGGTGAGAGTTTGCCTAATTTATTCATGCCCCTACTAATTCTACATGTTGTCCTTTCAGCCACGTCAGTGACTGTTTTACCCAAAAGTACCCCCAAAGATCTAGCGCCGCGCCGATGCCTCAACCTGCAAGACTACAAGAAAAAACGCGGACTGATTTAGTGACCGTTTTTCCTGTTTAGATATTAAGTTGTACTCCTCAGTAGGTTAACGTACTTTTCCGAAAGTATCTAGACTATTGGCCCGAATCAAAGGGGAGGAAACTCACAGTTGCGTGCAGATAACTCGATTCTCTCCTACATTTAAGTCCTTAAGAGTAAAAATTAGGTTAAACTGGGTAAGATGAAACGATAGATAGATGAACGGTAGAAGTGTACTGGATTGACCTCGAAGGTTTAAGTTGCAGTTAAACGATTTAGTACAAATGGGCGGTCGGCGATTTTGCCCCATATCGCCCTAGCTTTCATTCATAGTGCTGAGTTTGCTATCTCTTCCTTGAAATTGCAATTCTTGCTGTTTTTACAATTTAGAAGTGTTTTCTATTCTTATGGTGCTACAAAGCGGTTTTTCACGCAATCACCGTCCGACGTTTGCGCGCAACTGCATTTTAGTTTCAAATGTATTTATTATTATTTTTTAAATATATACAGTCTAGGATAATTTCATGAAATTGTATAAAGATTTAATATTAAAGTGTACTTTAGTAGATCCGTTTTGAGTTTTACTAGGCATATGTGGAAATTAACCCGAAAAGCTGCCTTAGTATGTGCGGGATGACGTCAGGAGTTTCGGCTTCCACACCGTACATAAAGTAATGTTTTAAAATGATGTTATGAATAAAAAAAACGGCACAAGAGAAACTGTTAGATAAGCGCCACAATACACCGCTAAGAGCCGTTTCACACAGGCCACTCTGTAGCGCTTCTCAGTGGCAGCACGGAAACATTATACATAAAACAAGGCTTACATTGTACATTAGTACCACGCTATATTTGCATACAACTTCCTGCAATGTCTTTAAAGGAACTATTTTAACTCTACTGAAGTATAGTTTGCAATTTGTAGGTATTACAATAAGTCACATTTTAATATGTAAATTTCAACGACTACTCTACTACTCTTTGCTAGAGATTATTAATATGCCATATTTCAAAAACCTATCGGTTTCATTAACAAGGTGTTTTGTTTATTTATTTGTTATAACAGAAATAAAATATCTGAATATGGAGAAAACCAAAAATAATTGCATGAGGGCCGGTGAGTTTTCCCGTCCTTTCAGAAAACGCCCTATTTAAGTAACTTGAAACTTGGTTTACTTTTAGTGACTTTACATCTATATTATCACTAACATTGCGTTGAAAGTGCTGGTGATTTTAATTCGAGTATGATTCACATTTGGGTGAACAGCGAGTTTGTGCTCTATAATATTCTGATGAAAAAAAGACAAAGATTAATGTTTTGTTTCTCTTCGGTCATGTCGATAAACTGATTTAATAGTCATTCTGATCTTGTAGTACCTACCCGAAGAAATATTATAGCGACCTCCTATAAGCAAGCTCCATCTGAATATAGTAAAGTAGATGCATGTCATAAACACGTATAAATGTGAATTAATTGCACGACTACTACAGCTTTTCATGATATCACAAATTAAATTAAATTGGTCTAAACGTAAAATATTGAACACGAAGCCAATCAATTTTTGTTAATAATAATTTGCACTATAATAGATATAAAATTACATTAGGTATTTATTCAATAAAATTCAACTAAATGAATGTATTGCAAGTACATGTTAGCAGATAATTTGTAGTAAATTAGTTAGCTCTCATATAATTTATAGCCAAATGCCAAGTGCTGCTGTTTGCAAACCAGTTTTAAATTTACATTCATGTACCAAACCAGGTCTATAGTAACTGAAACAGTACAAAAATTGAACCAAATAAAATCGATGAGTATGCAAATCATATTCCACAAACCATAAAATCAATGAAAATGTGAATTAAACAAAACCTAAAACAATATTTTTACTTTGACAGCAGACAATGCCATAAACATGGTCATTTCTGAATTGTATTTCGAATAACTGAAATCTCAATGCGAAAAATAAAATGAAAATGCTAAAGAAGATGCCAAAAATTGCAATTTTATCTCTAACGGAAGCTTATATAGATCTATTTGAAAAGTTTCATTTTTAAAACAAATTTAGTAGTAAATGCTTTCATACCAGACTGTTAATTTACATTTCAGTAAAGCCGTTTTTCAAGTAGCAAAATCACTTAAAGCTAGATGGAAAACATTAACATAATGCAGTCTGTAAATTCAAAATTTGCTGATAAACATTCAGTTTTGACATTGTACCAACCACTCTGCAGCGCTTCTCCGTGGCACTGCTGAGCAGCTTACTAGCCTGAAGCAGACCGAAGTGGCTCGTGTGAACGCCAGCATTTGAACCAATGTATCGCTATCAGTGGCGCTACTTTTTGAAGCGCTTCTGACTCAACCACTGAACGCCACAGAAGCGCTGCTAAATCGGTGGTCGCGCCCGTGTAAATAGCTCCATATAAATCAATCTACCTTCAAAACGCGCTTCTCAGCAGTGCCAGTGAGAAGCGCTGCAGCGTGGCCCGTGTGAAACGGCTCTTAAAGCCCCTGCTAGCTGCGCTATTGGCATTCTTGGTTGCATAAATTCGTTAGTAACAGTATTCGCCTGGTTAACAATACCATATATGGTAGCGAGGTTGCATAGATCGGTTTCCGTACGTTTGTGTTTCATTATCGCTCCATTTCAGGCTGATCTAAAGCAAATCCGGACGATCTTAGAACCACTTGTTCTCATAACAACTCATCGACAACAGCTCAAATCCAGTAAAGTGCAAATAAATCCGAAAAACCCTACGCCAATGCTGCAAACGTCGATTTAGAGGGCGTGCCGCCGATTTTCAATTTGCGCGCCGCCATTTTGTCGGAACGACTCATTGCCCTTTTATGGGCATTTGAGGTGGCCGGCTTTTACATTGGTCGCATGCGATTAGGCGCTGAGACTGTAAAACACCTTGCGGGATGTCCTCATTTGGGCATCCCGCGGGGCAACAATGCGACTAAAGGTCGCTTATCAACTGGTATTACTGGTAATAGACTGAAAGTTGCCAGCAAATTGTCATTGTGAAATAAAATTTTGAATGTCCCGCGTTAGTGCGCAGCGAAAAGCAGGGCGTTTCACGTAAATCGCTTTCAAATATTTTGGCGATTGTTTCAAGTTAGCCGGACAAGTGACGTGGTTGAGGGAATATTTGCTTAGTTCCAGAGAAATTGCGGTCGGCCTCAATTAGTGGCTGGACGTTGTGTTTTGTTAGGGTTTCGGTAGCCGCTCGGGGCTGCGCATTGTTCGTTTCACCGTCTCTCACTTTCAGTTACGCGCTGATAACAGAGACCGATATATACCGGCCGTGACAGTTGGCGTGAATCAATCGCAGATCAACGTCCGTAGAAGACCTCCTCGAAGTACGGTCGTTTCAACTGCAGTGCTAATACGAGTCAGTAGTGATTTAAATAGTTTTGTACATTTGGATTAATTCAAAATGGTGAGTATGGCACTTGAAGAATTGAGCCGAGAGCCCCGCTATCGTACATCTGTAGACTTTCGGTTAGCGGCAGGTTCGCACCGGGCCGCCATTGAAATATGCAAAATCCTGCATTCCTGCGGATCGGCTGCTGCCAACTTCCAAGCCCTTTTCGCTTCCAAAGGGGCGGTCAACTTTCAACCCTTCGCCCCTTTGTTCAGGCTCCAAATGGGGCGTGGATTTTTCCGGCTTTCGCCCCCCCTTTTATGCAGTACCTCGACAACGATGAATCACCTCCGATTGATTGAAAGCTTTCAATTCTCTCTATATGGACCCTGTCATTCGATCCACGCAAACTTGTCTTTTTGAGCGCTATTTTGGTTTTCTCAAACCACTTGGCCCCCCTTAGACCCCCATGTGGTTGTCTAGCGAATGGACGCGAAGGCCTAAAAATAACCTCCATGTGGGCTGGCTAAATATAGCTGCGATTTGGTCTAAAATTATCCTTATTTGGCCGACCTTGCTTCGGGCCAAGGAAAACGGCTGCACTTCGGCTTAGCAAGGGGAAAAAGAGCCCCCTAGAACGTCATTGTTCTGCTGTTTACAGGTGTTGAGTGTCAGCTTTGGTTGAGGCCTCAAAGCATATGGAATGGTGTCAACCGAGAAGGTTGCTTCAGAGTTGCTTGAAAATCCTCATTACATGTTCTGGTGAAGCGACAACAAAGTCTTAAAAATTGCCCCTTGTGACACTTTTGCATAATTTTGCCGCGCACACAAAGCGATTATTTGGTCATTGAAAATCGTCGCCTTTGTTTACGGTGTGGGCACTTATGATCAAGTATTCTAGTTGCTTTAATCAGTCAATGTCTTTGCCAAGCGCACTGTACTGCTTCCAAGTTTGTCTCATGTGTATGCAAAACCACGCCCTATTAATCCTCTAAAAACCTATTTTCGATTGATTCGATTTTGCGAAAATGATCCATTAAGCACAGTTGGCTGGCAGTTTATTTCAAAATTATCGTTTGTGCCGACACCTACATAGCGGACATAAATACTTTAATAAATTAATGTGACCCAGACAGTGTTGTCATGGTTTGAATGAAACGGTTTTTCTACGGCTAAATTATTATGAAAATAATAACTAAGTCTATTCAAATAGCGTTATCTGGAACAGATGAAAAATCGACTGACAGTTATAAGCCCCCAGTCATCAGGCAAATTCAATGTTTTCGCAGCTTTGATAACGCAAATACCCGATAACTCGCACTCAATAATCCCCGAATTCCTTAAATAGATAGATTCACAGGGCATCGCCCAAAATAATTGTTGCAATGATTTGCAACATCCAGCTTAATCATAGGTGATCGTTGTTGATGAAACACCAATTAGACATGGATTAGCAATCGAGAACAGGTTCTCGAGATGAATGATTCATTTGTCGCTTTCTTCTTGCTGATTTTGGTGCTTCATTTCAGGCATCCGGTGTTACTGTATCGGATGTGTGCAAAACCACCTATGAAGAAATCAAAAAGGACAAGAAGCATCGCTATGTGATTTTCTTCATCAAAGACGAGCGACAAATCGATGTGGAGGTAAGTGAGCCCCGATCAAGCAAAGAGCGTGCACCTTTATGCATCTGATTTTTTCTCTCAGGTGATCGGAGCTCGCGATGAGGAATACGACCAGTTCCTAACCAATCTGCAAGCAGGAGGGGCCGGCGAATGCCGCTACGGTCTTTACGATTTCGAATACACCCATCAGTGCCAGGGCACGTCCGAGGCCAGCAAAAAGCAAAAGTTGTTCCTTATGTCGTGGTGCCCCGACACTGCCAAAGTCAAAAAGAAGATGTTGTACTCTAGGTGAGACCGTCACTTGTTTCACGCACACGATTGATTCAACCTGGCGTTTTTTTCTATCAATTTTCAGCTCTTTCGATGCTCTTAAAAAGTCCCTGGTAGGTGTACAAAAGTATATTCAAGCGACAGACTTGTCAGAGGCTAGCCAAGAAGCGGTGGAGGAGAAACTGAGGGCCACCGATCGTCAATAAGCTGCGAGGCGCGTGCTCGATTGCTTACTATTCTAATTTTTTTCTACGACTGTCATCTACTCACGCACCAAACCTTTAAGAGGTGTATTATTTATATAAGTATTCGATTAATAAAATAAAGCTTCATTTTTTCAAACTGTACTCGAATTGAGTTTTTTTTCTAATTCAACTTAACTTTGACTGTATCAATGTGTAACCGTTGTGTAACTAATATGTGCGAAATTAAAGCGGTTTGGCCCTAATTGCATTGACGTTTTCTTTTCCCAGACAACACAAGGGCTGTTTTCAACGAAATTGCATTGCAAAAGCTGAGAAGTCTCAATCGCGTTTCGATTTCTCACGAAGTTCGACAACAGGGCCTTGCTGTGGTTGACAGGTGTCACCTAGGTTCCTGGCACGGACGCCGGGCACCAGCGGTGCCGCGTCTACCGATTTTTCGGTAGATCTACCGATACCATGCAGATTTCTAACGAAAAGTAACAAATAAAAGTTCATATGAGAAACATAGTGAGAAATCTATTTGACTGTTTTTTAAAACAGGAATTACTTAGTTTCTGTTCCAATTTCCGACATAGACTTTAAAACTCCTAATAATTTCTTTCCCGTGTCTGGCCGTTTGCACCGTTTTGTATGAAAGCCAAGCTTACATAAACCAACCTTAAAAATTAAGCTCGGCTTTAAAGTAAACGGCTTGCACCGTACCAATCTGTTGGCTTTGTTAAACCGGAGTCAGCAGATCTATTTGCCATATGTGGAATTATGACCGTTTGCTGCCATGATACATGTATTCATTGTATGTATCTTTACATTAGAACTTTGGCGAGTGATAATATAGATCGAAGGATTAACTTCAGTTTAGAACACGTTTAAGACAAAGTTCCTACATTTTACAATTTAGGAACCTTGCGTTTAGAGTGTTTTCCAACCCAACGTTCATATTTTAAATATATCTGTTTGTTAACCATTTTTTATTTTACTATATACAGGGTTGCTCATTAGTGCGTCAAAGTGCGATATCTCAGTAAATATGAACTTTACAAGAAAATACGTCCTACGAAAGTTTTTCATGTTTAAAAGGTCCACATTTTAAAATTACTTTCCAATATACGGGGTGTATCATAAACGTGTGGTAGTTACCAACTTTGGTTTTTTAAATGGAACCNNCCCTTTTTTCATTCATTTTCAGGTTTGTCGTCAAAATTTAAGTTAAGTTTGTGTCAAACGTTTTACCTGAAAAATTTACGATTTCCGAGTTATTCGTAAAAATGTGAAAGTTTTGACAGCTACTGGGTTCCACAGAAATCGATGCTGTACACTACCCGCTGCGAATTTTGGAAAACAGTTTTCAGCGATTCTAACAGAACATCATGATCTACGCGTAGATATGTTT